GGAGGAGACCCCGCCAGCAGACCCGCCGCCTCCCCGGATATGGTGCGGTAGCCTCTTATGGCCCGTATGGCCATGACCCTGTGTGGCCTGTTGAGACAGGCCACATTTTCCCTACCTAGGGCCCCCACCCAGATGGGGGCCCCGTACAGGGCCATGGACCGCACCACGCCGAGGTATAGGCGGCGGGAACCTTCTCCCGGGCCCCTCACATTTGGCAGCAGCCAGCTAAGAGCGCCGGCGGCTGCCATGAGGCGAGGGACCAGGTTCCGGAAGTGAGCGCGGAAGCTCCAACGACTGTCCAGGTCAAGCCCCAAGTATCGAATACAGGGCTTGACCCCCACCCTCTGGCCACTGACGACCAGCTGGGCATCCGGAGGTGGCGCGCGCCGAGGCCCATGAAAACACAGGACCTCGGTCTTCTCCAGCGCCACCTGGAGCCCAAGCCTTCTAATTCGGCCGACGACCAGCGCCACGCTTGCCGTGGCAAAGCGGGTAGCCTCCCGTAGGTCCCGCCCCCGGGCAGTGACCAAGGTGTCATCCGCGTAACACACGAGGTCAGTGCCCGTTAAAAGGGCGCCCCGCAGGTTCCAATCATACCCGATGTTCCACAGGATCGGGCCCAGAACCGATCCCTGTGGAACACCGCGTTGCATGTCCCTCAGCACAACAACGCCGTTCCGCCCCGTGCAGAGCACAGACCTGTCTTCGAGGTAGGCCCCGATCACGTCCCGAATATAGGAGCGCGCGCGATGGTATTTCAGCGCCTCCTAATAGTCGCAAAGGGCAGGGTGTTGAAGGCGTTCTTTATGTCCAGAGAGACCGCCAACAACACCCCACCCTGGGACGTCGCCTCTTCCGAGAGGGAGCGCACACGCGAGATCGCGTCGATCGTCGAGCGCCCTCTCGGAACCCGAACTGCTTCGGGCTGAGATCGGGACCTACCCGGGACAGGTGTTGGACGAGTCGGCCCGCCAAGATTCTCCCGAAGAGCTTGCCGATCTCGTCCAACAGCACTATGGGGCGGAACGCCGAGGGAACCACCGAACCTGCAGGGTGCTCCGCTTTGCGGAGCAGGACCACTCTACCCGCTTTCCACTGGTTGGGAAACCGTCCCGACTCCAGACACGCGTTAAACAAGCGCCGGAGTCGGTCCCCTAGGGTGTTTAGGGCCACGGCCAGGACGCGGCCGTGGATACCATCGGGACCCGGGGCGACATTCTTGCCCCGGAGTTTATCCACGGCCGCGGCGAACTCCTCCTCGGTGATGGCAGGAACCGCAGCAGCGCTGACGCCGCTGGCTTCTTCCATCACTGCCACGCGGCGTCATCGGAGGAGGTGTGGAGGGAGGCTGTCTCGGGAACAGCTCCTCCAACACCCCCTCCAGCTGCTGCGGCTGGAGACCCTCTGCCACGGGGGGCGCCCAGGGGCGTAGTTTGCCCCTGACGAACCTATAAGGACGCCCCATGGATCCCCTGTCCAGGGTCTCCAGGAGTTCTTCCCTGGCTGTCTCCTTGGCCCTGCTGATGGATAGCTGCAGAGCTTTCTTCCTCTCTTTGTACTGCTCGTACAGCTGTGCTTCCTCGTCGGCGTCGCGGCCCCGCCTGAGTCGGCGGTGCCTGGTGTACCGGCGGCGGGCGGCGGAGCACTCCTCCCTCAACGCCGCTATCTCCTCCGACCACCAGTACACCTGACGCCTAGGAGGTCGAGGGCCGGCTCGGGGCATCGCCGCGTCGCAAATGTGCGACAGAGCCTCACCGAACCAGCCCACCTCTGCGTCGACCTCCACAGGCCCCTCCGGTATGGGAACCCAGGCCTGGACGATGGAAGCCTCCATCAGCACGTCTTTATTTAGACGTTTCAACACCCATCTGGGGAGTTGTGGGACATTCCTCTCCTGGCGACCGGGGTGCGGAGCTACGGGTGAGGGGAGAACGTCTATCCGAATATACCGATGATCGGATAGAGTCTCCACCTCATCCAACACCTGCCAGCTCCGCACCCTCTGTGCGATCGCTGGACTGCAGAGGGATACGTCGACATGCGACTCCCCCTGCTGTCTCACGCACGTGGCGGCCGACCCTCGGTTCAACACCACCAGGCCGGCCGCGGCCGCCCAGTCTTCCAGGAGCTGGAGGTGATCAGCCCCATAACGTGGTTGGCATTGAAGTTTTTTTTTTTTTTTTTTTTTTTTTTTTTTTTTTTTTTTTTTTTTTTTTTTTTTTTTTTTTTTTTTTTTTTTTTTTTTTTTTTTTTTTTAACGTGTGGAAAAATCTTCAAAAGACCGTCACCCCGCCGGAGGGATAGGCGGCGAGGTGGTGTGTGGGACTTGTACCCACGACAAAAACCACACGGTATACCTCGAGGTGCCGCGGGCCGAAGTCCGGGGTTCGCACTTGGCGCTCAACCCAGACTTAGGCGGCTTGGCCTGTCCTGTAGATGTTGTAGGACAGGACCCCCTCTCTCTGGTTAGGGTGCTATGACTTGCACCCTACCTTCTCGTGGAGGCGCGTGGGTACACGCGCACGCCTCCAGGGGCCTGGTTGTGGGGTGATGCCTCCCTCAAGGCATGCACCCCGGCCCCCGTGGGGGGCAGACTCGGGACGGAGTTGGGCTCGTCCCGACGTCTACGCCTGGTCCTCCGGCGGCGGATCATTGGGGCGGAAGGATCATACTCCCGGTCCCTCTCCGCCGCCTCCTTCTGCGAAATGACTTCTTCGCAGAAGGTGAGTACTGCCAGCCACGACCCCTCGCTCCTAACCATTGCCCGAACTAAATTCGGCAGCGAGAGGTCGGCCCCCACTTCCGCGACCAAGACGCGGCGCTCCTCTGCGAATGCAGGGCACTCCTCCAGAACGTGCTGCGCCGTGTCTTGGTCGCATCCGCACTGATGGCACATTGTCGTCGGCTCCCTCCGTGCGACGTTACACAGGTACCGTCCGAAGCACCCATGTCCGGACAGCACCTGCGTAAGCCGATATGTCAGCGGCCATCGCCGCCTGCCCATCCATTCTTTAAGAACTGGACGGACAGCCTCGACGGTCCTCAGGCCGGCCGTAGGGTTGGCCAGCCTTTCTTCCCACTTTTCCCTGAGGACACGTCGAAGGTGGGATCTCCGTTCCCCTAGTTCCACTCCGGGAGGGCTCCCTTCCTTGGGCCCTTCGTCCGCACGCCATTGGTACAATGACGCGCGGGATTCCGCTACGAGGTCCCAAGGTGGGGAGCCCGCTAGCAGACACGCCGCCTCTCTCGAGACGGTGCGGTACCCTCTGATGACCCTTATGGCCATTGCTCGCTGCGGACGCAGGAGCAAGGCCATATTCTCCCTGGACAGGGCCCCATGCCATATAGGGGCCCCGTATAGGGCCATCGATTGTACCACACCCATGTAGAGGCGGCGACAATTGTCCCCCGGCCCCCCGATGTTAGGCAGCAGCCAGCTTAAAGCGCCAGCCGCCGCCATAAGACGGGGAGCCAGGTTCTTGAAGTGGAACCGGAAACCCCAGCGACTATCGAGGTCAAGCCCTAAGTACCTAATATGTGGCTTGACCTCGAGCCTATGACCGCTGACCACGATATGGGCTCCTGGTGGCGGCGCTCGTCGGGGCCCATGGAAACAAAGGACCTCCGACTTCTCGAGCGCCACCTGGAGCCCTAACCTCCTGATTCTGCCGACGACAAGTGCCACACTGGCGGTAGCAAGACGGGCAGCCTCCCTGTAGTCCCGCCCGCGGGACGTTACCAGCGTGTCGTCCGCATAGCAGACTACGCTGGTCCCGTCGAGCAAGGCGCCCCGCAGATTCCAGTCATACCCGATGTTCCACAGGACCGGACCCAGAACCGATCCCTGTGGAACACCGCGCTGCATCTCCCTCTCAATCACGGTGCCGTTCCGCCCGATACACACTATTTTCCTGTCCTGGAAGTAGGCCCCGATCACCTCCCGAAGGTAGGGAGGCACTTGATGATATTTGAGTGCCTCCCTAACACAGTCGAAGGGGAGGGTGTTGAAGGCGTTTTTGATGTCGAGAGACACCGCCAACAACACCCCCTTTGGGAGACCACCTCATCCGAGAGGGCACGAACCTGTGAGATCGCATCGATCGTGGATCGGCCCCCTCGGAACCCGAATTGGTTCGGGGATAGATCAGGGCCCACCTGAACCAAGTGCTTGACGAGGCGGCGTACTATTATCCTCTCGAATAGTTTGCCGACCTCGTCAAGAAGGACAATCGGGCGGAACGCCGAGGGAGATACGGAATCCGCAGGGCGCCCCTCCTTGCGGAGCAGGACTACTCTGCCCGTCTTCCACTTCTTGGGAAATCGCCCCGACTCCATGCACTCATTGAAGAGGCTAAGGAGCCGGTCCCCAAGGGCACCTAGGGCCAGATACAGAGCCCGGCCGGGAACACCATCAGGCCCCGGGGCAGTTTTCTTGCCCCGGAGCTTGTCCACGGCCGCGGAGAACTCTTCCGTCGTTATCGACGGAACCCCAACTTCCCCTTGGGTGCCGGCGCCGTCTTCTTCAATTTGACGGCTGCGCGGCACCATAGGAGGGGGTGTGAACTCTGACTGCTCTGGGAACAGAGCTGTCAACACCCCCTCCAATTGTTGGGGCTGGAGACTCTCTGCCACGGGAGGCGCCCAAGGGCGAAGTTTGCCCCTTGCACTCCTATATGGGCGCCCCCATGGATCTCTTTTAAGAGTCTCCAGGAGTTCCTCCCTGGCTCTTTCTTTGGCCCTGCTGATGGCGAGCTGCAGCGCTTTCTTCTTCTCACTGTAGTGCGCCCGCAGCTCTGCTTCCATAGCGGCGTCACGGCCCCGCCTGAGTCGGCGGTGCCTGGTGTACAGGCGTCTATCGGCCATGCTCTCCACTCGCAAGGCCGCTATCTCTTCAGACCACCAGTACACCTGACGCCTAGGAGGGGGGGGGGGGGGGGCCGCGGGGCATGGCCGCATCACAGATGCGGGTCATGGCACCCCCGAGCCAATTGGCCTCCTCCTCAACCTCCACAGGCCTGGATGGTATTTGAAACCAGGCCTGGACTATGGAAGCTTCCACCAGCACGTCTTTTAAGACGTCTCGATGCCCATTTGGGGAACGCCGAAGTGTCACTCTCTGAGCGGTCCGGGTGCGGAGCTCCGGACGAGGGGAGAATGTCGAACCTTATGTAGCGATGGTCCGACAGGCTCTCCACCTCGTCCATCACCTGCCAGCCCCGCACCCTGTGCGCGATGGCTGGACTGGCAAGGGAGATGTCCACTATAGACTCCCCCTGCCATCGCACACAAGTGGCGACCGACCCCACGTTTAGGATTGAAAGGCCGGACGCCACCGCCCAGTCCTCTAGGACCTCGCCTCGTATCGTCGTGATGGGGGAGCCCAAGCCGTAGACTTGGCATTGAGGTCCCCCCATGACGAGCACGGAACGGGCTGGGTGCACACTGATTGCAATTCCCAGCCCGTCCAAGTATTCCTCGAACTCGGCGAGAGTCCTATTGGGAGAGAAGTACACTCCGACGACGGCGATTTCCCCCCAACTCACACCTACGTACCCTGAGCCCCTGAATAGAGGCAAGCAGGGAGGGGAGGCAGAACTCCCCCCTGTACGAATGACAGCCACGAGGCCGTCGTAGTCGCCGAACCAATTGTCAGAGGACGGAACGGACGGCGGCTGTCGCTGGTGGTGCGGGTGCCGGCCCCTTCTTGGCCTTATTTTGCCTGTTTGGGGAGCAATTTTTGCTCCCCATCCAATGGTCCGCCGGCTTGCTCGCCTCCCGGCAGATGGCGCAACTTGGAGCGGCTGTGCAGCCAGCGGCCTTGTGACCAGGTCTGCTACACCTGAAGCAGAGGCCACTGCGGTCCCCCTCGTGCGGGCACCGCATCCGTACGTGGCCTGTCTGCAGGCACTTAAAGCACCTAAGCGGCCTCTGCCTCAGGAGTTCGACCGGGGCCGACACCCAACCCACCTTGATGCGGGCGGCCGTCGTGATCTTTTTGACCACTAAGATCGGCGCCCGCACCCAGCATGTGCCTAGTCCAGAAGGGTTAAGGCGGATTTCCCCTGCCTTAACCTCTTCGGGCGCACACTCACCGTCCCTGGATACCGCCTGTGCGATGTCCTCAGGGGTGACCGAGTCATCCAGGCCCATTATCCGCATCTCTGCGGTTTTGGTGGGCCTGGAGACCTGCACAGGGTTTTCCCCGAGGACCTCTCGCAGCTTCTGCGCTAGCGCATCTGCCTTTTCCCCGCTCTGAGAACCCGGGATCTCAAGGATCCTCGCCCCCGTTGCCGCCGACTTGAAACGGAGCTCCTCAATGCCTAGTGAGGCCAGGTCAATTTTTGCCTTGGCCTCCCTAAGGATGCCGGCATAACTCGCTCCGGCCTTCTCCGCTTCTTGCGGAGGGCGAGGATTACTGCCGCAGAGCGGGGGGCCTTCAACTTGTTTGGCGAGGGGGCCCCCTTCCCCTTCTTTTGCGATTGGGTCTGAGAATGGGACCCGCTCGCCTTCTTTGTCTGCGCCCCTGACGGTCCAGCCTTAGCCTCCGGGACGTTTGTGGTACGCCCATTCTTCCTTACGACGGTGGCCCATGTTTCCACCGCCGTAGTAGGCTGCTGGGAACCAGTCGCAGGGCCCGCCTTTTTTAGAAGGGGCAGGCTGAGACTGACCTGCTTGCCCGACCTTCTTACGCGGCGCTGACTGTGGCGCCTTGCTCCCGCTGGTTCCGGCTTGGGGGGCAACACCAGGTCTGATGTTCCCCTCTTGCCGGTACGCCTCGATTCGGTCCCCGTTCTGGAGAGGGGGACGGTACATGTAGTTGGGGACATCGTCCTCCAACCCCAAGTCTAGCCGCTGTGGAGCTATCATGCTGCCTAACTTGACGCATGAGTTCCGCCGTTTGCCGCTCCATCATGCGGCCAACGTCCTCCATGATCTGGGACCTGAACGTGTCCCAGTCATTTGCGTTCTTGGATGAACGTGCCGCATGCTGGAAGGCCGGTGTCGGCCTCAGGCTTTCCGCCGAGGGTGCAGTGGCAATCTTAGCCCTGAGCTCCTCATTTTCCCTCTGGAGTCTGTGGAGTTCCGACTGGATGTCGGAGTTCCTCCTCAGTAGTGGCGTCACCGATCTCGGGATGAGATCCGCTTCCAGGGACTCCGCCAGGGATGCTAGGCCATTCAGCGCATCATTTATCTGCCTCTGGCAGGTCCCCTTCAGATTTCCCGACTTCTTGACGACCGCCTTAGCCTCAGTTGTCTTTTCGACAATCGCCTCCCGGACCTTATGTATGTACACCTCTGCGGGGTCCGTGTGATCGCGGGGGCCTTTATTCCCGTTCGGGTAACGCGGGGGTCCAAATCCGAGTCTTCATCCCCTTCGGAGTCACTACCCCTATTTTTTAGGAACTCCCTGCGCCGGCTTCTAACCAGGACCACTTTTGCCGTCGCGAGGCCCGCGCAAAGATTCCCTTCATTGGGGGATCTCCCTTTCTTCGCGGCTAATGCCGCTTCCTCGACGTCCACAGAGCTAGCCATCGAGTCTGCGGAGTCATATTCAGCGCCGTCATCAAGGCGTCTCTTCTTACGCCCGGCAGCCATGTCCGACGGGCGCACAAACTCTATTACCGCCGAGTTGGAGCGAGAGCGGGTCATTGGGCGTCCCTGTTCCTGGGTCGGGTTCCCCACTTCCATCCTCTCTTCTCGGCCCTTTAGAGCATCCATATCGGGCCTAGGGCCCAAACACATAGCCTTTTCAGGCACCACTCTTGTTCCGGCTTTTCCAGCCACCCCTTCTTTTGTTCCCCCCGAATCGATGGGGGGGCCCTCGGAGGGAGGGGGGGGAGGTGCGGGGGCCATTACAGCCACCCGCAGACCACTTTGGGAGAGGTCAGCCAATCAGCAATTGCAAACACAACTTTGTTGCAATTTACAATTGCCAACTAAGACCAACTTCCCTAAAAGTGGAACGACCTTGACCAAATTGCGGGGGGAGGGGTCTTTTGGACTCCTCACCCTGATGAAAGACTAAAGAGGCAGATATCTCCCAGCGATAGGGCCAGCAAAAATCCACTATCTTCTACCGCCCTATAAAAGACATCAACGCGACACGTCGTCAAGAAGACTTACGTCGAGCAAGATTTTCGTGTCGCGCGGATTTTCTATTTATAGGGAAGGAGAAGGCGGTTTGTTTACTACGCCGAAACCTAACCTTTTTTTTTTTTTTACAAGGGGAAATCCATCATGGAGACCCGCACGCCTCGGGGGAAGCGTGGGGGTACTGCCGGACTCCTACCGGCTAAAACCCCTTGGTGTCCTCCGCTCGCCACTAGCGCCGGGGTTACGGGATCGACATAGCAGTCCACCGCGACCCCGGCAGCGCAGGCTCTGCAGCCTCCTCCTCGAGTGGCGCGCGCGGACACCACGCGCGCCTACTCCTAGCCTCACCCTCCTTAGGTGACGGCAGACGCCCCCGCATCTGCCGCCGAGAGGCTCTGGGTCGGTGGCGACGGGCCGGACTCGGCCTCCATCGCCTCCGTCTCCGCCGCCCGCGCCTGTGCGCGGCTTCCTCGCGAGCTGCAGTTCTTACCGCTGCCCACGGCATGACTCGCCGGACGTCCCGCCGCTGCGCAATAAACGCAATGCGGCGGGGCAGTGCACTTCGCAGCCTTGTGGCCCTCTCCGCCGCAACGGAAGCAGGCCTGACTGCGGTCAACCGCCGATTTGCACTGCGTGCCCACATGCCCTTGCAGTAGGCAGCGGTAAACGCATGGGTTTCGGATCTAGCACTGTTACGTGCGCCGAAACCCATCCCACTTTTACGCGGCCCTCCCCCTGGAGCTTTTTAGCGGCCACCATTGGGCAGCGAACCCACACAGCCGCACTGCCAGACTCCGATCGGCGGACTTCCCCCGCCTTCACTTCCTGCTCCGCGCAGTCTCCACTACGAGCCACGGCGGCGACGACATCCGCCGACGTGGTCGTGTCGTCCAGGCCCACAATCCTCAGGTCGGCCGTCTTTACCGGACGAGAGACCTGGACCACCTCCGCGGGCAGGACCTCCCTGAGCTTTTCAGCGAGGGAGTCCGCCTTATCACCACTAGCGGCGCCTGGCAGCTCCAGGATTCGCGCGCCAGTGATGGCCTGCCTGTACCGGAGCTCCGTTATCCCGATGGTCTCCAGGGACACCTTTTCCTTAGCCTCCATGAGTAGGGCCGCGTAAGTAACGCCCTTCTCGGCAGCTCCGGGCTGCAGCGATAAAACCACCGCTGCAGAGCGGGGCGGCCTTAGTCTGGGCTTCCTCTTACGTTTACCCGCGGTCGCTGCCTTTTGGGGCAGCGATTTAGTCTCCGCGGGTTTCTTCGCCGCCTTTTTGCCCTGGCTCATCGCGCCACGACGAGCCACGGTCACCCAGCTCTCCGTCATTGCTCGGGGAGCAGGCGCCGGCTCCTGTACTCCAATAGGAGCAGCCTGACTAACAGCTGCCGGTGCAATAGCAGCCGGTGCAGGAGCCGTCGCCTTTCCTCTACCCTTGCCTTTCGGCCCAGCCGAACCGCTCGCCCGCACAGCAGGCGCAGTTGGCGTAGGCCTCACTTCCGGGACCGGAGGGAGCCGCTCCTCGATTCTCGCGAGGCGATTGTCGAGGCGGCTCTCTAACCTCCGGGCTATGCGGTCCTCCAACTGCTCTAGGGTCCTGGCCCCAACCGCTAGTTCTCCGGCATGCGCAGGGCCTCCGGCAGCGGAAGTCGATGGCCCGACGGCCGCCTGCGCCTGCGCATCTCGAAGTGCAGCCCGGAGTTCGAGGATCTCCTGGCTCACCTTCTGGTTTTCAGCCCTTTGGCCGGCAACCTGCCCCTCGAGACTGGCGACCTTTGCCGCTAGGACGGAGTTCTCTTTTGCAACCGACCTATTCTTGAGGATGTCGGCCGCATCTCTAATGGCATCCACAGCATCTCTGATGTCGCGGATGGTGGTGCCCTTGAGATTCCCGCATTTCTTTATCGTGACGTTCACGATATCCGCACACGCCTCTATTTTGCTTCGGAGCGCATCCGCCGTCCACTGGAGCTTCATAGGGTCTCCACCCCAAGTGGCACGAATGACTCCGAGCCTTGCTCGAAGTTTCTCTGGCCCTCAAGCACTGCCGCCTTCATGGCCTCAATGCGGTCCTCCTTTACCCTGGCCCGAGTTTTTTTCACCCTCCGAGTCCGAATGCGAGCGCTGCCGCTGGCGCTTTCGCCTTGTGCGCTTCCTCTCCGTATCAGTATTCCCGTCGTCGCTTCCTGTAAAGAGGGAAGTCGACGACCCTGTCATGTCAGACAAGTCCTCCTCCATCAGAATGTCGTACCTCCCGGTACTGAGGACACTCTCTAATTCCCCTCTCTCTAGTCTTACCCTTAACTCCTTCTCAATTCCTTCCCTATTTACACTTCTACTAACACCCGGCTCATCCCTGGTCTCCCTCCTCTCTCCCTTCTTCCCACCCTTCTGACCTTTCTTGTCCCCCCCAGAATACGTGGGACTGACCGCCCCCGGCTTACCCGGTGCGACGGCAGAGGATTCTCCACCCGATGAACGGGTGGTACCTCCCTGGGGTATTACTTTTTTAAGATCGGCCATGTCATCATTTTTCCTTTTTTACCCGGGTCTGGTCCCGCATACAAAATAGAAGAAAGAAAACGAAATACAAAACAAAATTATAGAAAAGAACAAAGGACAGAAAAGAATAGACAAATAAACAACTAAAAGAAACAAAATAAAACGAAGACAAAAGAAAAGAAGACAAAACTAGAAGAACTAACCTAACTATGTACAAATAAATAACTAACCTAACTATTTACACTATTTACAGAATTGGACGAGCGCCGAATACGACACCCGCCCCCTACCAGAGGTTTTTTATAGAGGTTGTCTCCTCGCAGCCCCGAGCGAACCCACCCCGTTCTCACACTGGGCGGACGACTGTCATCACACCCAGTGCAAGTTTACGGTATGAAGATACACTCGCAGTCTTCGCCAGAGACAACTTCGTCGTCTACGGGCACTCCTGCCCGCAACGTCCTCCTCATGACTCTGACTCCGACCGCGAGAGGTTTTTTATAGAGGTTGTCTCCTCGCAGCCCCGAGCGAACCCAGAGCCCCCGCTCCCACACTGGGCGGACGACCTCCTGTCATCACACCCAGTGCAAGTTTACGGTATGATGGTACACTCGCAGTCTTAGCCAGAGATAACTCCGTCGTCTACGGGCACACCTGCCCGCAACTCCGTCCTCCTCATCAACTCTGACGCCGACCGCGAGCGGTTTTTTATAGAGGTTGGCTCCTCGCAGCCCCGGGCGAACCCAGGGCCCCCGCTCTCACACTAGGTGGACGACCTCCTGTCATCAACACCCAGTGCAAGTTTGCGGTGTGAGTCAGTCCGGCTATGCGCAAGGCACCACCGGACCCGACCCGAATGCTTCGCTCACGGCCTGGACGGGTCCCGGTTGGGGTCAGGACCCATTGTCCTAGCCGCTCGCGTCGCCCTCTCGCCGAAATCGGCCTAGGTGGCACGCCACCATATTTGGACGGGCGCCGTTAAACAGCGCCCACCCCCTACTCGCCGGGCTACTGGCCGACATAGTAGCAGTATCCCGAAGGAACGTCTACTATCCCGCCCGGGGCGTACCAGAACCAAACCATTGCTCGGCCACCGTTCCCCGCGGACGTATCCACGAGGATGGGGAAGCCTCCCAATGGCAGGCCCATTGGAGGTTGCCCGACCACACGCCCCCCCACCCCCCAACCTAACCTTTTTTTTTTTTTTTTTTTTAACGAGGGGAAAGGTTTCAATACCGAAACGTCCGCCTTTATGAAGGGGAGCGGACGAATACTGTGGGACTGGACGAATCCGACCCACCAAAACCCCTCGGTGTTCCTCCATGAACCACGAAAGACGCCTTCGTGCGGGTTCGCATTTGCATTCGACCGCACTCCGGCCGCGGATCTCCAGTGAAGGAGCCGCCGAAGTTGGGCGCGGGGACCACTCCACGCCCACACTCCACGGATCACTCGCCTCCTGGGAACTTCGGATGCCCCTACATCCTCCGCTCCGAGTGTCCAAGTTGGGGCTTCGGGTGAAAAATACACCTTCCGCCCCCCACGCAAAGGCCGCGATCGCCGCTGCGTTGCGCTAGAAGCGCACCGCAGCCGCGACCGCGTATAGCCATACCGGACGGAAGCGGTCCTGAAGGCACCGCCTCCGCCCGGTGCCCCGACGGGTCGGGGCGACACACGCATACTTACCTTCGGCGACGTACTCCCTGCGCCGTCAGCAGTCTGCCCACCAAACCGCACCAAGGAGCAGCCCGGGGATGTCCTCCGCAGATAGGACTCCCGATCTTAACATGTTAAAATCGGGAGCTGCCCACTCGTGAATACTTACCCAGATTCGCGATGCGCCTCCGGGACCGTATCCTCCGTAAGCACTACCGCGCCACACGGTTAAACCGTAGGCGCCGGTAGTGTTGCCTCCTCGAATGTTGCCCAGCATCCGAAGACGCCTAGCAACGATCCTCCCGCTGTCTTCTCACGCCGCGTCGACTCCGTCGTCTGCGGGCGCTCCTCGCCCGGACGACGTCCTCCTCGTCGACAGCCGCGCCGACCGCCAGAGGTTTTTTATAGAGGTTGTCTCTCGCAGCCCCGGGCGAACCCAGGCCCCGTTCTCACACTGGGCGGACGACCACTGTCATCACACCCAGTGCAAGTTTACGGTATGAAGATACACTCGCAGTCTTCGCCAGAGACAACTCCGTCGTCTACGGGCACTCCTGCCCGCAACTCCGTCCTCCTCATGACTCTGACTCCGACCGCGAGAGGTT